TATCACACTTGCTGGAAAATGGAAAAACTGGCAAGGAAAAGCAAATTAAAGTTAGGTTTCTTTAAGATTAATGTCCAACTTTCTCAGGCTTAAAGGTTGTTCTCTTAATCGATTTTTATCGTTGTCCACCTTTGGGCTTACTCAATCATTAAAGCGATTAATAAAAAGAAGAAGGTGGCTTTGGAGTTTTGGATTAATTGATTTTGGCAAGTAAGGGGAAAGAGTAAGAAAAGTGAATTTAAAGTTCATTTTGCATAGAATTTTTAACAGCATTTTAAACAGTTTTTATAAATATTTATTAATATTTTTAAACAAAATTTCTAAATAAGAATTCTATAATTCTTACTGATTCCTCCTATCAGTTTATGTTTCTTAGTCTTTCTTACTAACTTATCTTTTCGGTGGATTAAAAAACCTGCATTTTAGCTTCTTATCTTTGCTTTCATCATCTCGCATCATCCCTTTCACCCAAAAATTGTAAAAGGAGAAAGTTGTTATTTTTCGCGGGGATCTGCTGCAGGATATTAAATCATTTCTGGACTTGTTCAATCCCAACAGACAGACAAGCAGACAGGTGCTATGTTGAGGTGTGCATTTTCTTTGGGGCGTGGCACATGTTGCGTGCATTTAATTAAGCGTAATTATTCACTTAGTTGGTTATGCCAACAGCAACAACAACAACAACAACAAACAGCAGCAGAAGTAGCCGCCACAAAATAAAGAAGAAAAAATAAATTTAAAAAAAAAAAATAAATGACGATGATGACGTTTTGTGGGCCCTTAATGGCAAGCGTTTTCTGCTAATTGCCACAACCACGAGTTCTGGCAAGGGGTTTGAGGGTTGCAAAATCTAGAGTTAATGTTGCATTTTCCACATTTTCCAGATTGGCTCTTGTTAATACGTGTCTTACACGTGTTTGCCGCCCCCCCCAAAACTTCTAACTAATGCGCATTTTCTTGTAGTTCTCACGTGATTCATAGGCGTTAACAAAGTGAATGTTGTCGAAGGGTTAGTAATGCCAAGGAAAATGGTTACTAAACTATGATTAATGATGATATCTAATGATGATTGTTAGAAAAATGCAAAGATTATATTTAGAATTATGTAGAACAAATAAGAATGCTAGAACAGTTTGGGAATTATAGCCGTTATAAATGTTCATCCTTTTCCAAAATTTAGTAACCATTAACTTTTAACTCAACTTAATCGCTAGATTACGGTTTAGTATTTAATCTGAAATGCAGTTGCTGTCTTTCTTGAATGCGTTAACCATTCTCTTTTGACCCGCATTGTTGTGTTTGCCGCTTTGGCATCCAGAGGCATTCACTAAGCTTCATTGATCCAGAAGACGCTGTAAATCGATGCCAAGCGAAAGCCTTTCTTTCCAACTTATCGGCTTTCTAATGCTTCTTAGCTTAAGCTATAAAGTTTTTTTGTTTTTGTTTTTAACAACAAGGAGGAGGATTTGCTGGTTAGTTAGTTAAGATTTCGTTTTGTTTTTTTTTTTTTTTTTGATTTTAGTACGAAAAAGTATGTTAATTTTTCGCGGAAAATGTCTTTCTTATGACTAAATTTCCTCGTAAGATTGCTTTTTTGCTAGTCATTTGATAGAACTCCCATGAAACTTCCATCTTTATGTTAAGGGCAATGCTTAATTTGATTAAATTTTCCCTACTAACAGGGTTAAGTGTTATGAAAAAATGGCCATAAAGGTGTAGTTGTTTTTTCCTAGCTTGGTCATCCCTTTTCCAATTATCAAAGTAGGAAAAAACTTAACTAGTCTACCTGAATAATAAACAGTTATAGACGACTACTTAGTTAATCAGGTTATTAACTTGCGTTTTATGAAGGTTCTTCCCACAGACAAAATTTAAACTCAAAAATAAGTTTTAATCAGATTTTAGTTCTTAAAAAAACAAATTGCTTAATTTAAATCTCTAAAAACTTGTCAATAGCTGTCTGTTTCTCCTTCCATTTCTTCTTTTCCTATTTCTCTGTATCAGTGTATGTGTATGCTTGTCTGTGTGTGTTTGTGTGTAGGTCAAGTGCAGGCGTTGACAAATTGTCGTCGGGTGTTTGCGTGCGCCGTTGTCTTGCACAATCCTGTTTGCATTTGACAGGCGATGGCATAAAATAACAATAATGATGACAGCACCTGGCCTGCACTTGAGCGCCATCTATCCCATTTCCCCCCAAACCGACAACAGTCTGTCAGCCCCTCCCTTCCATTCCTCCCCCCCTCCCCCCTTTTCCTCCTCCATCACCCTTTCAAATGGCCAGCGAAGAGGCAGCTCCACGTGCTCCTCGTACCTTCCAGATCACCTGCTGAGGCAGTGCTGGCACAGGCTTAGATATAAAAAAAAGCTAGAAAATCAATCAATATTTGTGGTTTTCTTTGTGAAAGTTAATTAATATTTTGTAATTTGAAAATTAAATGGAACTTTTTGAAGGAAAACATTATTTTAAAATTGATTTTCCAGCTGGAAAACCCTCTAAATTAATATCAATATCAAGCTAAAATATTTGCTTTTTAACAAATATTTTTTTGATTAAACTCAAAAATTATAAAAATTAAACTTAATAAAAATCTTTTTTAGTTTAATTTTTAAATCAATTAAGTTTAGATTTAAGCTTTAGCTATAAAATAGCTAAAACGCCATCACTAGCCATTGCGCGTGACGTCAGCATTCTAAGTGCTACGTGCCGAAGTCCCTGTCTCACTCTCTCTCTGTCTCTGTCTGGCTCTGCCCGCGTCTCTGCCAGCGTCGGTTTTCACACGCTGCAACTTCGTTATTGTTATTATTGCCATTGGGATATTCAGTTTCGTTCGTCACTGTTCGCTTGGCTTGTTGTCTTCAGAGGAAAAAAAGAAGGTGCGAGAAATAATGTTAAAAAGTTGGGAATTTGGGAATAGAATAGAAGAGGGTTAAGGTGTTGTTGGGTTACTTAAGGTTTGGTTTTTAAGGGTTATATTGGTTAGGGGTTTTGCATTTTTGGTTTAAGTTTAGTTTTGGTGGATTAACCAAGACGCGATATAGGCAGTTGTAGTTCTTTACCCCGAACACTTTTACGATTTTCCCCTTTTTGGTGCAAGCAAAAAACTTAAATTATAACAAAAAAGAAAACGAGTTTTGTAATGGAAAACTAATAATTTGCATAATAATGATTAAAAAAATGAAAAACTCAATAAACGTAAAATCAAAACTTGAAAATCTCGAACAAACGCTAAACGGAAAACTGCAATTTAAATAAAATAATAATTCGGTAAATTAAAATCAAGAAAAATCAAACAAAATAAGCCTAAAAAATTGCTTTAAACTCCAAGGAAACACCAAAAATAAAATCGAAAATGAGCGTGTGTTGAAATGCTGTGCTTCTTTGTTTAAAAAAACTAAAAACTTGAAAACGTTTAAGTAGGATTTTCTCATAAATGTGATCCTTAATCACCCAAAAAACAATAAACTTAAAAAACCAAATCAAAGTGCCAAAAAAAAAGTGAAAATTTGTGAAAAAAAATCTCAAAAGCTTTTCTCAATTTATTTACGTGATTTTACAGCTCGTCAAATGAAGAATTCGAGAAACTTTGAATAATCCAAAAATCCAAAAAAAAGGAAAGAAAATTTGAAAAAAGAGAAAAAAAGCAAAAGGAAAACGCCTTTCGGAAAACTCGAAGCGCTAAAGGAAAACCTAAAGAACCAAGCAGAGGGGGAAATGTTTAAAACAAGAGTTGCCTTAAAAATAGAACTTCCTTGTTGACTTACATATACATATATACAAATACATATACAGTGTACATATATACAAGAATATTATATACAAAAAACATAACAAAAACAAAAACAAAAAGGAAAATCAAAGAAACAAATATCAAGGAATATAGATATATATTTTTTATACGAGAGAAAAGAGAAAAGGAGAGGAGAAAACCTTTTTGGAAACGCAAATCGAAAATGCGCCTAAAAGAGACCACAAAAAAGTCACCGCCATCAGCAATAACAACAGCCAACAATCATAAGACCGTACCGCTTTCCGGTGATTTGCTAAGTACGCTTCAACATCATCATAATCATCATCATCATCATCATCAGTTGCCGCTATCCGTGCAGCTGCAACACCAACAACAACAACAGCAATTCCAACAACGCTGCTCCAGCGTGGGCAGTACCAGCAGCAGCGGAACCTGTGAAACGGACCGCTCCACCCAATCTGCCGGCTCCTGTTCATCGGCTCTTTCGCCGGTGTCGGCCGTTGGCATGATGGCCGGCCTGGGTGGAGCGGGCGATGGTTTAGCTCCTGGGCCAATACCTGGTACAGCAGTGGCCGGAACGCCAGGCGATGAAGCTGCCTCTATACTAGCTGCCAATATTGCCGAATCTTTTACGTTCCTGCAACAGCATGCGGCTCATCATTTTCGCGACATTTTGTATGCGGCCCATATGCTGGGAAGAGGTAAAAAAAAAGGAGTCAACATATCAGAGTGGGTGGTAAAGGGGGAGGGGAGATAACGTTGCACGACCTGCTGCTGTGGGCAGCAGCAGCAAACTGGAGCCGCTTAACTGGTTTCGCTAGCTGTTTTTTTTTTTTTGATATTTTTTTTTTTTTTTTTGGCCAGGCCAACTTTCACTTTATGCATTGTTGCCGCACTTCACTACACATTGGCTCGCATTGCACTTGCCGTCCCGCTCAGTAAAAGCTCTCAAAGCTGGCAAACTATTTCCTAGTCCTAAGAGGTTTTCCTTTGTGAGGAAATTGAAGGAAAATTTGTTGTTTTTGAAGAAGATTTAGTTAGTTCTGTCTTAGGATAATGAATCTTCAGGATTATTACTAACTTTCCAATCGGTCTTTATAAGATATATCATTCATTCCATCAACTTTCTTCAAAAAAAACCATAAATCTTTCGAGACTTAGCATGTTTCGTTTTTAAAATATAAAATCAAATAACTTAGAAATCTGATCTTATAGATTTGATTAACCAACTGTTATCTCTTATCATTGCAGGCTATTATCAGCCGGCTGGACCGCTGATCTCACCGCATGTGATCGCCGCACCGCCACCACCGCCAGCTCAAATTAAAAAGTTGCAAGAGGAGGATAGTGGCTCAACCTCTGGCAGTTCGCCAACGCAACTGCAAGCGGCCGCCGCTGAAGCTGCCGATCAGGCGGCAGCAGCAGCACAATCTCAGTCGCAAAGTCAAACGCCGCACGGTCACGCCCACGGTCACGGACATAATCCACAAGCGCCAGGTCAGCATCCGCCGCAGCCACAGCCGTATCCGGCCAGCGCCGTGGCGGCCGCAGCTGCTGCAGCAGCCGCCCACCAGGGTGTGCCCTATTCTCGCTCGATGCACGCGGCCCAGATGCACTATTCGACCGCCTATCCGCCCAACTATTACGCGCCATATCCGGGCGAGGTCATGTGCTACTCGCCGCCCACCTATCAGCCCTATTTCTCGAGCAAGGTCTACCAGCCATCGCATCCCGCCCATCCTGCCGCCCATCCGCAGGGTCCGCCACCGCCGGGCGCCTATCGTCGTTATCCATACTATCAGCACGCGGGTCCACCGCCACCGCACGAGCTCTACGAACAGCAACCACCACCGCCGCCCGCCTCATCCGGATCAGTGTCCGGTCCGCCGCAACAGCAACCGCCAGCGAGTAGTTCAGGTGCGGTAGCAGCCGGGGCAGCCGGTGCAGCGGGAGCACCAGGTGGCAGCCAATTGGTACCAGCTCACCAGCAACAACACCAGCAACAGCACTTGGAACATTATCCGGGACCGCCCAGCTACTACGCCGGCTATAGTCCCGGCGGAGGAGCAACAGCCGGGCAGTGTTACACGCGCGGATTGCAAGGACCGTATATGGGTAAGGAAAAGTATGGTCCAGTCTCGGATGCATTTTAAGTCAAAACAGGAAGAGTTGTTAACTTGGCTAGAAAGTTAACAACACTTCTTGTCACGTGTCAACATTTTTTAACTCAGCTCCCCTTTTGATCTTTGCAGAGTATCCACCGCAGTGTCCCTGCCCAATGCCTCAATCGTGTCCAAAAAACGTCCATACTGGGCCTCATATTGGTAGCAACATCATCAGCAACATCGACCAGAGCAGCAGCAAGAACAGCAGCAATAGCGGCAATATGTTGCTGAATGCCACAAGCAACAGCAATATCAACTGCAGCAGCAACACCAACATCAGCAGCAGCAGCAGCAACAGCAGCAGCGGCAACAACAGCAGTACTTTGACTGCCTGCAGTAGCGCTACGACAACAACTACAGCGTCAGCGTTGACTACCAGTAGAGGCCCAGTGAAAAATGTCACACCAAATAACAACAACAACAACAGCAGCAGCAACAGTTGCAGCAACAGCAACAACAACAACAACCACAACATCAGCAGCAGCAACAGCAGCTGCCAGACAAGTGAGACAACCTCACGGGCAACAGCAGCAACAAATACAAATACGACGGCAACCACCGCCACAACGGGCACCCAATGCCAGATGCTGGTGAAGACAGAGCTCAAGGGCGAGAATCCTCAAGTGACCAAGATGCAGTACGAGGCACACGTAATGCCGCCACCCACGCCGCCGGAGAGTTACTGTGCCAGTGATGAGAAGCTGCTCGATGATCAGGAGCAGGAGGCCGAGTTGGAGTTACGATTGCGTTTGGGATTGCGGCTGGAAAAGGGTCAAGAGCACATCGAGGCATATGATCTTACGTGCAGTACTCCGCCACCAGTTACAGCCAACCAGGCGGCAACAGTGCCACGCAAAGCGAGGATCGGCAAGAGCATGGCCAGGGAGATGGTTTATGCAGCCCAGCAACAGCAGCAGCAGCAGCAGCAGCAGCTGCAGCTCCCGGAGAAGCAGTCGAAGGGAACTGCAGCCAAAATGGAAATGGAACCAGAGATGCCTTTCGTACTTAAAGCGGAAATCAAAGCAGAGACCAAAATCAAAATCGAGCACGACGGTGAGGCGCAGGCCAGCAGCACACATATCAGTCAATTGCCGGATCTAAAGCCCACCATCAAAATGGAACCAGAACAGGAACTGGATCCCGTATGTGGGACACCACCAGTATCATCTGTTACCAAAACCGAACCGGAGCAGGAACAACAAACGGATCAACAGGCCACTGGCGTGGAGCAAGATCAGCCCACGCCCGGTGGCAGCAAGCAGCGTATCAATCTGCTAGCCTCCTCAAGTGGCAACAAGAAGGCCAAAACGAATCACAGCTATAAGAGCCTGATCAAGCAGGCGGAACCGAAGAATTACCTGTGTCCCGGTCGCAGGTTTGTCCGTCGACACGGACGTGCTCCGGCCAAATATGCCAAGCGGCGTCAGATGATTCTGACGCAGCGGCAGCAGCAACGAATGCGTCTGCAGCGCCGTGAGCAGCAGCAACAGCGACGTCAGCAACGTGAGGCGGCAGCAGCAGCAGCAGCAGCGGGAGGCGCATCCTCTTCAATGGAAGCTACTCCCATGGAGACAGGACCAGATGAACAGGGCGTAAAGGAGCAGGTTAATAGCACGGCCACGCCCAGTGCTTCGCCAAAGAGGGCTCGGCTAAGGAAACAGGAGATTGCAGCACTGCATCTGCTCGGAGGCTTGGATACGGCGCTGACTCGCGGTTACTTCAGTGATCCGGAACTGAATCACAGCAGTCGCAAGCAGACGCCCACGGCAGTGGGTGGCCTCTATGCTGCGTCCTCGCCGCTGGCCCCTGCCACTGACCACAGGGGCAAACAGAGCGCTGGGGAGAAGCGTTCCAAGTCGGAAACCAAGAAGCCAGCGACGGAAGCGATTTCTGAGTCATCCCTGCCGTGTAAAAAGCCACGCAAACAGCCAACTGCTGGCAAGGCCAAGGGCAAGAGCAAGAAGTCATCTGGTGGAGCAGCGGGGGCAACAGTTGTTGCCACCACGGCAGAAACACAAATGGAAGGAGTCACCACTTCCACCCAAGAGACCAATAACAACGAGTATCAGACGGCAGATCTACAGGCTCAAAAGTTCCGCGAGTCACCGGCTGTCACTGATGCAACGGCAACGGCAGCGGGAACAACGACGACGACGACAGCAGCAACATCAACCTCCCAGCAGCAGCAGCAGCAGCAGCAGCAACATTCCGATGAGCAACACCAGTTCCTGGTGCCCAATCAGCCAGGGGCTACAGTCACTACAGTTGCTCCAACAGCTAATCCTCATACGCCCGCCAATCGTCAGGGTCAGGCGACGCATACGAAGCGGGCCAGATCACGTTGCAAGTTTGGAAACCGAAAGCGGCAAAAACAGCGACCTGGCGGTGTCAGCTACGAGCTAGATGTGACCCAACCGCCGGCAACGAAAGCCAATGTTGTGCCCAAGTGGAATAATGGATGGATGTGGGCGGGCAAGGCCTTCCAAGGTGCAGTCTTTCTCAATGTAAGTGGACGATGATCTAGCAATGTTGATTCCCATTTAAACTTAATCTTTTTACCTTAGAGCGATGATCCGCTAGTGCTGCGCACTTGCTATCCAGCCATGCGGCATGTGGAAGGCGACATAATACGCATCAGGGACTGTGTGCTACTCAAGGCCAACGAGGACAATGAACTGCCCTATGTGGCCAAGGTAGCGCATCTCTGGCAGAATCCCGAAGATGGTTGGTATCCCTTGGATAGTTACGGAAGGAATGTTAAACTAAAATCAATGATAATTCTAGGCGAGATGATGATGTCGCTGCTGTGGTACTATCGACCGGAGCACACTGATCAGGGAAGACAGCGAAATGATTGTCCGGACGAGGTCTATGCCTCCCGGCATCGCGATCACAACTCGGTGGCCTGCGTCGAGGACAAGTGCTATGTGCTTACCTTCAGCGAGTATTGCAGGTAAGCGGAAACCATTTGAAAATTTTAAGGGAAATTCTAATGACATTTTCATAACATTGCCAGGTATCGACGACGCCTGCGTGCCGCCGAAGAGGATGTAGAAGATGTTAGCATTGTGCCACGTCGACCTTGTAGTGCCACAGCTCCTGGATTTCCAGTGCGTACGGTGCCGGAGCATACTAATCCAGAGCTGGTGATGTTCTGCCGCCGTGCCTACGAATTCCGGACACGACGCCTGCTCAAGTTGCCCCAGAAGAATGGGCTCGTGTGCAGCTCCAGCTAGCGCAAGGCATGAAGGCCAACAACAACAACAACGGTGATCGCTGGGATAGATGAAGGTGTGGAGTGTAGGAACATTAGCTTAAATTCAGATTTGCAATTGGCAATTCATGGAACGGAGTAGAGAAGGAGTAATGTCAAAAGAGAGAGAGAGAAAGAGAAAGAAAGTGAAGAGAAAGCCCTGGCAGAGGATACAGAGGAAATCATAGAATGAAAGTTACATTGTTTTTTCTGATCAGTCTACAGTATTGTTAAAGATATTTTTTGTCTTTGTTGTTAAGAGAGATATCAGCAAGAGAAAGGGCCCGGCCAGCGGCATTCGTTGTTCCTAACCACAATTTCGATTGCTCTCGTTGCTGGCCCGCCCGCATGGTCGATGTTGCAAGAACAAGAAGAAAACTAAAAAAAAAGAAAGAAGACATATACCACACGTACACTACCTCTGTCGGGGCAGGCTAAGAGACACATACTTACAAGACCCCAGAAGACATACACACAACAACACACAACCACACACACACACACACCAGACCAAAATGTAGGCGATGGATGATGGCTTTTCTTCACAACTTTAGATGTGAGAAACTTTATGAGAGCTGCAAGGAGATGAAAGGAGACAACTGCTAGGAGAAAGCATTCAAAATATTTTACATTGTATTACATAATTTATTTATTATCTGACTACACCAACCAATCCACGCACACACCTAAACACACACACCCAAAAACACACACACATGGATATTTTTGTTATTAAGTTGAATGTATTTATTATCATTAATATCGAGTTAGTCAACATTCTATGTACAGTTTTCCGCTCGCTAACTGCTCTTAAGGCTCCATAAGTTCTTGGAATCTGTTTTGGAAATTGATATCCATTAGGTTTTTATATATATATATATATTTTTTAGGCGATTTTGGGTATTGGAAGATTAGTCCGTACAGATCTCTGTGCTTACCCAAAAAAGTTTTAGTGTTTTTTTTTTTTGTTTTTTCAACTAGAGGTATCTTTTTTTTTTATATATATATATAAAAATTGCCAAATTAAGTCTAAGGACTTTAAATTTTAATAATTTAATGCCTGAAAAGCGAATTGGTAGAATTCGAATTTCCAAATAAAGAAAATTTCTTTGACAAGAACAGTTCGATTACCTTTAACTTCAAATTAAGAGCTCTAAACCCCTTTTAGTTTCTCGTTTAGACTTATCTTATAGGTAAAGACCAAGCTTAACCCATTGCTTGCTCAGGCAAGAACTTTGCGCACAGACTTAATGGCTTTCTTTTTATTTTTTTTGTTTTTTTTTAACTAAACTAAACTTGAGATTTCTGGCGGAAAACTGGAAGACTTGACATCGATTTTTCCTAGGCGCTGTTGGTATATTTTTTTAGTTGTTGTTAGTTTTTGTAAGCAAAGGGAAAAACACTTTTTTTTTGTAATTTGGAAATTTGATTTCACAGATATGATTTCCCGTTAGAAAAAAAAAACAGCTAAAAAGAATCTTTTAGGGAAAAAAACAACAGAAACAACAACAAGTCACATTATTATATATTATATTATATATATACGAAAAAATATATATATAGATGCATAGTTCTATATATATATATATACAAATATCCTTATCCATATAAATAATTTTTTTTTAGAAATTAATTTAATTTAGTTTTAGTGTTTTTAGTTATTAAATTGATATTGCTAATAGTTTGTTTTATACCAAATACACAACAACAACAACAACAACGATGATGATTCTAAGAAACCTATTTATGCACACCCAAACACACACACACACACCCAAACACACATATACATCTATGCACAAGTGTATAGTTTTATAAATATATATAAATATGAATTATATGTATTATTTTTTAAACCAAATTCCCTGTTTTTTCTCTTTTCTTGTTTTGTAATTATGTTTTTCTTATTTTTGTTGCCTGCTTTTGGGCTGACATTGGTTATACGTACGTATACGTATTATTCCAGTTCTAACCAAATCCGGCAGGCGGTTTAGGTGTAGGCTAGGCGTAGGCGTGGCAATGTGTAGAGCTATGATTAAAGCAACGTAGAGAAGGACATGGGAATGCTGTCGACGCTTTGGAATAGAATGTGCAAAAGATAGAAATCGTATATAAATTATTATATAGGGAGCATAGCCAGACATACATATGAAACAAGTATACAACAGAAAGACGCACACAGATACACACACACACACAACCATTAATACATATGTATACCTAGTGAAGCAGGATGATGAATGAATTCAATTAGTGAAAAATCAACAAGCAACCACAAATTGTAGCCTAAATTACCAAAAAAAAAAAAAAAAAAAACAAACAAAAAAAAAAAAAGGAAAAACAAACAAACAATATATTTGTATGCCATATATATAATATATATATATATACACAATACATATACATACACATATACATCATATATATATATATATCTATATATATATATATACTGGAGCCTTGTTCCTGCTGGGCCAATACAAGGACACATATATATATTTCTATAGGCAAATTGAAGGAACCACAGGAAGCAACCACAACCGAAAGCAATTCAAAAGAACAGTTTGTATTATATAGACAACAGAGCAGTACAGTCAATCCACACTAACAGTGACAACATAAACACACACACACACACACACACATATAAACACTAAATGCCTCTGAAAAAGTTAAAATGTTTTAACCCCCCTGGTTTCTCTGTTAGTGGATTCCTTTTTTTGTAGGGAAATCTTGTTCGATCTTTTCATTCCGATCAAAGTCCAAGTCCTTCGGCATGATCATTTCCATATATAGTTGTTAGTTATATATTATATATGTACGTCTGTGTAAGCCTGCAGTCTGATTAATTTTTTTTTTATTTTCCTCAATGTTTTTGCTTTAAGAAATACATTTGAAAAAAAAGAGAACAAAAAAAGAAAGAAAAGAAATTAGTAACGTAAATCTGAAAATCCACAACACAAACCCAAAAATGCAAAATGAAAACATTAGCCAGAGCAAGAACAAAATAAATAAGTAAAAAATTTAAAAAAAAAAAAAAGGAAAAATGAAAAATGAAAGGAAAAACCAGGAAGAACAAGAACAAAACAAGATCAATAAAACAAATCCAATATAATTATTGTTTATTACTAGACTAATAAATGTATTTTTTGGCAGATTATAAGAGAGTGTTTGATGACTTTTTTTTGGGTTTAACTTTTGTTCTCATTCGTGGCCATGATTTGGTAATGCTAATATTATCTTAGTTTTACCTTCGATTAAACTTTAAATCAAGTTCACACGTCGCTGCTATAAATAGAAAACTAAACAAAAGTAATTACAAGGTTCGAATGACAATTACCTATGACTTAATTGCCTTTAAAGTGGTTTAAGTAGTATGTTAACTACCTTCAGGGTATTCCCTACTGTGACAGACTTGGTTCAGTAAGTTAGTTCCCCCATCCCTGAGACATCACGGAGCTTTGATTTTGATAATCATCGCTGGCACGTAAGACCGAGAACTGAAATCAAAAGTGATCACAAACTTTTTGACATTGACAATCAACGCTGCCGCCAGAAATGTGTTGCTCAAGCAATTAAGTTAATCGTTGGTTAAATTATATATTATACTACATACATAGATAGGTAGAAGAAAGTCAGTTCTAGAAGTTATGTGCTAATTAGTGTCTACATGTCCATGTCTCAATTAGCCCGCCGGCATTTACATGCTAACATATGTATTTACTATGAGCTCATCATGTGGGGGCCTCTCATCTGTGACTCAGTTAATCGCCAAACCACCCAAAATCACCTTTATCAACAGGTGTCTAAGCCCCTTCCCCTTCTTTTCCCCTTTGCGATTTCATACTTGTTTTTATTTTGGTTATCGTTTTTAGCCCGCCGTTTGCCTTCTGGGAGAAAGGAGGAGGAGTAGCAGGAGGAGGTTAATTACATGAGCGTTGCTCGCCAAAAATATATATCTCAACTGTGTGGGCGTGCCCCCAAGAAAATGACGTGCCCACACGATCGGCTAAACTCAAATTGTTTTCAGTTAGTCACTAAAACTGCGCAGCTGCGTGAGATATTATTATGTTTTTTTTTTCGTGCTTTTCATGATCGCAGTTGCAGGCCAATTTTAATGTTGCTAAAATACTTCCCAAAAGGTTCTGAGTTGGGAAATGTAATATTATAGCATTATATATCTTTTTCTATATATCTATTTAGATATTCAAGTTGGTTACATTTTCTCTAAGGAAACTCATTAGAAAAACTGGGCATTTGAGAGGTTAAATAGGGTGTTAAGGGGTTTCATGGGTTAACTAAGAGTGATAGACTAGAATATCAAAGTTCCGTCTATTAAGTTTAAGTTCATCCTCCTTTTCCCTTACAAATTTCAAGAACAGGGTATCATTCATACCTCTAAGGCAGGTCCTTGAGGCTCCTTTATGTAGATATGCCATGATTTTAGGACAGTTGTACTCAAATTCGTCTTTCGGCAGAGCTAAGAGAGTTACAGTAACTCAGTTACTAACACAAACTCCAGAAAGCCTGCACATATTTAGTGACGCTTTCGTGTTGGTTTGCAGCTGTGCACTGAGAGAAAGAAAAACACCTTCTTTTTGCTAAACAATTCATCACTCAATCTCACTGCGAAAGGAACGCCAAAGTGCAAACCAAAGTTATAAGGAAGGCATTCCAGTGTAAGTGTCCAAGGATGATCGAGAAAGAAACAACAACAAATTGATTTACAGTTGGCGACGGAATGTGGCGGAAAGAGGAAAGCGAAAAAGTTTTGGTGGAATTGCGCCGCAAGAGCTCAAAGCTTATGGGCGAGCAAACCGTTATGCAGCCAGCATTTACATAAACAAATGGGCAGTCGAGCATAGGCGTTGAACAGCCCTGGTATAGGGTATACCTTCAAGTCTGATCATGTATATTTTGTGGCGCAGAAGCTTGTCTAGAAGTTTACAGTCTACTTGCCACGCAGGTTCTTAAGAAGTCTTTTGATAAAAGGAAACCCAATCAGCTAAGAACTGTAAATACCCGTCAACAAGAAAGAAACTAAACCAATTTCTTTTAATCATCAATTTTTGAATTTAATGAAAACTTGAATTTCAAAACTTTACATAAATTAATCTTAAAAACTAAGTAAAAAAAAAAAAAGGCTGCACACTCAACAAATAGTTCCCGCGCTGCCACCGCATTATAGTCTCATCGTGACCAAAGTGATTCCCAGTATTAAGGTGAAGGTGGCACCCACTGAGCTGCCAATGATCGCTGGTGCTGCATTATGATAGCCCTGATATTGCCCTGGAAAATTGGGATCTGGCCTTACGCCCATATAGCCAGGTTGTCCAGCCTGTCCCACCTGATTGCCATAGGAGAAGGGGCGTCCATGCTCATCCGTACCGCTTACATAGTACCCTCCATTACCACCGGCTCCGCCGTAGGGACCACGTGAATCGATTCCGGCATAACCATAACTATATTGTGGATCCTGACCACTCAGACTGCCTGGCGGATGCATGCCACTGGACTGGGCATTCGAATAGACGCCCACGCCAGCCGCATTGCCATTGTTCCAATGTACCGTTCCGGACTGGGCGTTCACTGAAGGAAAAATAGGTAATGTTTTGTTAATTTATTTGCTTATGTAAAGCTAAGAATTAGTTTTAAACTAAGAACTAGCTTAGAGTTAAGAGTCTTTGCTATGTCTGCTAGATTATCAAAATTGTGTCATATAATTTTGAAAAGTTTAAAAGAATTAACTTAACTAAACTAAACTCCAGTTCATGCTAAGACGGGCGCTTAATTTCATGAGGCAGTGTCATGAGAAAGTTTCTCCGAATGCCTTCATCTCATTTCTTTGCATTTTCTATCCGTTTTTCCTCTTTAAGTCTCTCAAAATTTCCTCATTTCATAAGCCAAGTTAGTTATTTCTAAGTTAGATGTATAAATAAACACTCCCACGTTGTGAATCACACCAAAAAAGTACCTAAAATACTATTAGAATTCGAAAATGTTCCATTGATTACAAAGCTTTGCTCCTTCAAGAAGGATAACTTGACTAAAGGACATAATTTTAAATACATAAAAATAAATAATAACTTTTTTTTAGCTAATAACCACTGATATCTATAATAATATACACTTTTATAATGATAATTTTTGAGATATTTTTTAACTTTCAAGTACAAAAATCCTAGCAAGTTCCTTTAAGAGCTTGGTTTAGTTTTTTATAAAATATTTATCACATTTTATATATAAAAAAAAGCACTCAACAAAAAAGAATATACAATATATATTTTCTGATGTGTTAATCATAACAAAATCAGACCCGTTTGGTAATTTTATTGCAACGGAAAGTGATTTTCCATCGCTTTATTGTTTATTTTTGTGTTTTGTTAATTGTTTACTCGACACTCGTTGACTGCTGTTTATCGTACTTAAGTGTGATTTGTATTCTTTTTATTACATTTTTTTTGTTAAGTTCTTAAGCTTGTAAGTTTTTAAGCTTGTTAGTTATTAAACTTGTTAGTTCTTAAACTTATTAGTTCTGAAACTTGTTAGTTATTAAACAATTTATCAGATTTTTCCTTGCTTCTTTTCACTTTTAACGTTTATTTTCTCTAATTGCCTTCACTCACCCGCACTAAACTTGACAAGTGCCAGGCAGATCAGAATGCTGCCGCTCAAGATGCGATTGAAATTCGACATGTTAACCGAATGCGGGCTTAACTCAAACTAAACCGCTGCCAAAGTGCCGGTGACGGTTTTAAACTCGACTCACAGCCCCGTCTCTCAGCCATCAACAACAATTGCGATTTGCTTTGGTGAGTCATCAGTTTTTTCGGTTTTTATAGTATTTATTCAAATCGAAGGGAGCTGGGAATGATATACAAACTGGGAATGGAATCTTTTGTATAAACATTCTTTGAGAAATCTTCTTAGAATATGCAAATTTCTGAAAGAAATTCCTTGGAAATCTTGAAAGAAATTTCATAAAATGCATAGCCTAGCCAAAAGTCTGTAATAATATCCATTTTAAGGGTAATAAATAAGTTTTAATGTACCATATAAGCTTAGTAATTGAGTTCCATTGGTTAACTTTTATAATTTTGATAGAGTATTATTCCCAAATTTAAGAAACTTATATTAAAAACCTTTGACTAAAGCGGTTTGCATTCTTTTTCAAGTTTTAGCAACTAAAAACTTCCCCACTCTGGCCAAGAAAGTCAAGTTAAGTTTATTTTTAAATTAAAAACACGCCATAAGCTGTGTTTTGCCATATAGAACATACTAATTTATTAAGTCACTAAATCACCACCATGCCAGGGACATCTATGGGGATCATAGAGGTGCCTATAAATATTTGTTTTCGATCAGAGAAGCTGCAACATCTTTTCTCTAAAACAAGGCCAGAGTCAGCTTTGATGATCCACCGAATTGCATTGCAACTTGGTTTGATCTTTTCACTTGGTAGTATTGTCAGACCTAAAATATTTACATATATTTTGTTGCCCATCCGTTTCACACCTTTTAATGGGAGAGCGGAAAGAGAGAGAGAGAGGGGGTTAGGTTGCGGGCCTGTCAGTGGCAGTCAAACAATGCAGGCGCGTTGTGGCTACCGCTGATAGATAGCGAAAAGGCCCCCCCGAAAACACAATTGCTAGGCCAGTGCAAATTATTTGCTTTCTCGTTTGTGACGTAAACTAAATTTAGGTCATCCGATATGGTAATACACTCTGGAATCCATGCAATACGTTACTGAATAGGTTATTTTTCTATTTATGTTACTCTGGCGAGGGGAAAGATAGTGAAATTGATTGGTGATATTTGCCAATGGACTGGGGACCAGTACTTGTAGGGAAAAGGTGTATATAATGACAGATTTTCATAATATGACATAATTTTTCATGGCTAAATATTATCTTTCCTGCAAAATGAAAGATATTTGCTATTTTAAGTAAAAATATAACTTATATTTACCGTATTTTCAAAAACAACCGTTACTATTTACAAATTTCGATAACCTTTATATAAAGGATAGCCAATCCATTCTCTACAATCGATAGCAACTCCAACAGAAAGGCCAACAAACAACAAGCGTTGCCACCCTGCCAAAGAATCCTGCGCACCAAGCTCCTTTAGCTAAGGGTTCAAATCTCCCCCTTCCGGCTCTCTCTGGCTCTCACTGTTTGTGTGTGTTTTGCTCATTTACTACGTTTGTGTTATGGTTTTTCGTTTTCTGGTGGAGTACAACCACCCATCCATCCGCCCTCCCCTCAGCTGCGAGTGAAATTGGAGAGGAAAAGCTAGTTCGAGTGCGATTACCGCTGCTACTGGTGCGCTGGCCTGTCACTGTGGCTCGTGTTTGCCTTGTTTGGTGGATACCATTTGCCTTTTTCTGGCTCAGAGCGACTCAGTCAAAATGTATTAAATAAATAACTAATCGTTTAAATGTAATACCCAACGAGAAGGGGTTGCCCATTGAAAATCAAAAAAAACCAACATCGACCAAGTCAAGAAAGTGCAACAAAATTTAGTGTAGAAAATCGTGGAAAAAGGTTGACGAAAAGCGAGCGAAGGGAGCTGGAAAAATTGCATTGCCTTCTTTTGGGCGCACAAAGAAAATGAGCGCAAAGGTAGGCCAAGAGCGTGCCTCTCTCTTTGTATGTGTGCGTGTGCGTGTGCATGTGTGTGTGTTTGTGATATCACAAGTACTGTTAGCCCCCCTCTCTCCTACACCGACACCGATTTCTAGTTTGTAATTTCGTTTGCAATTGAATAAATGCATCCCAGCCACGCCCCCCTTTTAACTCCCCCCCTTATATCTGTATATCCTTGCCACCGATTTTATGGCCCTTGGTATAGAGAAATTGCAAGGAGTGCACCATAAATTAAGTCAGGTCTCCAACGACTTTGATTTCCACCATATGGTATACCATAAAGCCATGGCTACTGGCGTGAAAATCGAGCAGAGGAGGATGGAATAACGGCGGATAATGGCGCATTGAGAGGAGGGCTCTTGTTGCCAGATTTTCAACTCACTGCAGTTCAAGTGTAGTCCCATTGTGGTGATTCGGAATCCAAAGGGTTCTCATCTGTTGCCCTGCAAAAATGTGGCCATAAAAAGCGTTTATTAACTGCAAGGTTTCCAGGAATACACTACAGACTTGGCATTGGTTTATATCCTGTGATTTTATAGGATAATAACCAGTTGACTTTGTAAAGTTTAACTTTGAAAGAAGAAAGTTTTCTTCAAAATTGAAAAACTTCCGTAAGTTTTGTTTTGAAAAACAGCTTAAAAGTAGGCAAAGCTTTGTATTACTTTATATCCATTAGAAAATATGATTTTCTATACCCTCTCCTCACTTTTTTATGATGTTTATCCTGTCAAATGATTAATCTCCCCCTTGCCAGGGCATCATATCATATTTTGAACGTCAATCGTGTTGATTTTCCTCATCCTTTCACTTATTTTCTCTTCATTTTTTCTTGCCAATACATTAGCCTGTTTGATCGTGTTGGCAATGGGAGTGCTCGTTAGGCATTTTGCCTTTTTAATGCCTGTTTACATTCAACAATCTGCTAAATGCCTGTGAGTGTGCAGGTCATGTTTACTTTTCGCCGGAATCGCTTCTGGCTAAAAGTCTGCGGGCAAAACGTACAGGAAATATGACTAAAAAGTCTTTCTTTCAATTAAATTAGCTATATATATTGACTTTCTGAGTTATAATGATTAAGAAACTGTCATAGAGCTCGTTAAAAAACAACTTAGAAAAAATCTCCACTATATAAATAAGCTATTACTATTGTCAAAATAAATATTTTAGGGAAAACAAGCAATTGAGTCAGCCTCTTCCTGCTTTTGGTGACCTTTTCTGACTTCAACTTTCAGATCACACTTTCATACTCTTTCATACTCTTTCATACTCTTTCATACCCTTTCCTTCTGCTTATCAAAACCCACTATCATCATCATCTATCATGCTTATATTATCTAATGTCTGATACCACATCACGTTCGCGAATCTATATCAAAAGCTGTCTGAGTTATCAATATGTAGGCAGATCACACATCGTAAGCCATATTTATGGGCAGGCGATAATGGCTTTTTATATGGCGCCTCACCAACTGCCGATCCTCTAAAGCTATTTTTAAATACGACTATACGGTATACCCGTATATGGCTGGTAAACAACCAAAATGGACATAAACAATACCAATTGTTTGGGGTTTGCATTTGCGTTAATTGGAAACTCGTAAACATTTTGTTCTTTCGGTATAACAGTACATATATATACCTATTAAAATATATATTTCCATAACGTTTATATATCTATATATCTATATAGCCTATACACAAAGTCAATTAATTTGTGTACAATGCAAAACTATTCGATATGCCGCAGGGGGGAGGGGAAATGATGGGGAATTCGGGAGGCTCGCGAGAACTCACAAACGACGACATCGTTCCTGTTTGTAAGCTTCACGGGCTCAGCGCACAGTCAGTGCCTTCCCAACGGTCATGGGCTGAACATGAAAATTATCGTTGCCGCGTTCTGTTATCGTACCGCTCATCATCCCATTTGTTAAGCCCAAAAATAAACAAACAAAAACAGCACCAAAAATACCATTTATAACGGCAAAGAAAAGCAAAGAAAAGAAAAGAAAAGAAAAGGCGGCTGTAGCTTAATACCTAAAGGTTGCCAAAAAAAAATGTGGATCTCAGACTGCCGTTCGGTGGGTCTAACTTTAAGATAGTTTTTATATCTATGTATCTCATTTTTTGAATGTATATCATTTGAGAGTGCTTAAGTCCCAGCATATGGGATGGTTTCAGAGGCGGCCAATAAATGCTGACAAGTGGTTGGAAATGCTTTGGCGGAGTTAACCCTTAGGCGGGCAGAAAAGTTCGGATTTCTGATTAAGTTTCTGGCAAAACATTTCTCATGAATTTTGTTTTCAACTTTTTTGTTTCTTAAAAACAAACTATTTTCCTTATTTGATAAGAAATTATGTTTCATCCAAAGAAAGTGATAAGCAAATGCGGGCTGAAGTTCTGCTGAATGGAGCTGCCGCTTATCAGAATTGTTGTATAAAAAAGTTTATATTTATTAAATCATATGTTAAAAATGTGTCTAAATAATATATAAGTTAAAGTTAATGCTTAAAAATTATACAAAAATGAGTTAAAAAGTTGAAAAATTTAAAAAAACTTCCTTTTTTAAGGTTTAGAAAGAGATTCATATTTTTTTTTACTAACAAAACCTCAAAAACATTTTCTAGTTATGGTTTTCAAATACAAATTTTTAAAATATATTCAAAAATATTCCACAACTTTGCTGACCTTCCCTTAGATCATCCAAAAAATCATCCTTAAAAAAACTTAAACCTTTTCATAGGCAAATTTTTCGGGATGATCTGCAGTCAATGCCGCTGCGTACACAAGGGTTAATTGAAGCGGCAACACTTTCGGCTACACATAGAGTCACAATGAAAATGAAAAGCTAGTGGTGAGAGGGGGGCGGGAGAGGTAGCTGGGGGAATGTGAGAGAAAAATAAAGCACAAGGCGCTGAGTGAGCGCTAAAGAACACACAAAAAAAAATATATATATATCTACAAAATCCAAAAGCTTTGCCATCGCCACTTTATGTAGGCATTATATCCACAGATATACAGATATACAATGGCTCCCTTATCAGATGCCCTACACACACACCCAACACGTGATCTAATACAAAGAACTAACTTTGTTGTTTTTTTCTATACAAAAAAAAACTTAGTTTAATTTTCTAATATAATAATCTTATTGCAGATGACGCGCTACAAGCAAACTGAATTTACGGAAGATGATTCCAGCTCAATCGGCGGCATTCAATTGAATGAGGCAACCGGCCATACAGGCATGCAGATACGCTACCATACAGCGCGGGTAAGTTAAGGGGTAACCCTATAATATCACACCTCCCCAACTCCATGCCTTCCCCCTTTTGTATAATCCCAAAAACAGACAGTCAGACAGACAGGCACACTAAGTCGTTGTTTGGCTCCAATCTTTATCTCTGTGGCAATGACCCAAAAACGAGAGGCAAATGGGGCCAACGTGAGCGTTTTTCTCATTTGCCTTGAAGGTTACCATTTGACAGTGAAAAGTCGGTTTTTCTATGTAGGGGGCGGGGGAGGGGCAGCACGCTGAGTGTGTGAGCTTTTCACGGGTGTCTTTTCTGCGGGCCACATATAAATACCCTTAGGTATGGTTAGGGTAATGTTGGTTTTGAGAGGGAGTTTGTTTGGGAACTTGAAATTCAGAAAAGGAAAAAGATTTTTGATATTTTAAGGAAATGCTGTTGCGGAATTTGAAGATCTTTTTGGGAAATCTTAAGGTAAAAAAACTTAGTCCATAGTCTTTCTCTTTAGAAAGTGTATCTAAAAGTCGCTTTAGCTTTGCAAAAACCATTTATAAAACGAATTCCCCTGCACTCAACTTTTCCTTCTCCTTCAATGATATATATGAAAAAATTAAGCCGCAAGACGCTGCCAGCTAGATTCCATGTAGATGCAGATACATTTACCCATCAGATACAGATACACAAGTTTGAACTCATTTGAACTGCCGACGTCTTGATTTTTGGTTTTGTTTACAAAACAACAAATACCGCTAAGGCAGATTTATGGGGCCAGGGAGCTTTTGTGCCGACATAGAGGGTCAGAATGATTGCTGATTTTGTTGTTTTTCCTTTGTATTCTCCATTTTCACAGGCTACATGGAATTGGCGTTCGAGAAATAAGACAGAAAAATGGCTACTCATCACTACTTTCGTAATGGCCATCATGATCTTTACACTGCTGATCGTCCTTTTTGCAGACGGTGGCAACAGCGATGCCACCAAGCATGTCCTTCATGTCCAGCCGCACAAGAAGGGTAAGTTATCAAAATATATCTATTATATTTCTTTTCCTGATATTTAAGATACTTCTTTTACAGATTGTCCTTCCGGTAATGAGCTTCCCTGCTTGAACAAGCACTGCATCTTTGCCTCAAGCGAGATCCTCAAGTCCATCGATGTGACTGTGGATCCTTGTGATGATTTTTATGGCTATTCTTGTAACCAATGGATCAAAAACAATCCCATTCCCGAGGGCAAGTCAACGTGGGGTACGTTTGGCAAACTGGAGCAGATGAATCAGCTAATCATTCGTAATGTACTGGAAAAACCAGCCAAGAGCTTCAAGTCAGACGCAGAGCGTAAGGCCAAGGTCTACTATGAGTCCTGTCTGGACGCCGATGAGCATATGGAGAAGTTAGGGGCCAAGCCCATGAATGATCTCTTGCTGCAGATCGGTGGTTGGAATGTGACCAAGAGTGGCTACAATGTGGCCAATTGGACAATGGGTAATACCCTTAAGATTCTGCACAACAAGTAAGTAGATTTTTTATACTTTCCAAAGGTTTTTCTGTTAACTTTAAACTTTCCTCTCCTTAGATATAATTTTAACTGCCTGTTTGGCTGGGCGATTGGTGAGGATGACAAGAACTCCTCACGGCATGTCATTCAGATTGACCAAGGCGGTTTGACCCTGCCAACCGCCGATTATTACAACAACAAGACGGACAATCACCGCAAGGTACTCAACGAGTACATTGAGTACATGACCAAGGTGTGCGTCCTTTTAGGAGCAAATGAATCGGATGCCCGGGCTCAGATGATTGGCGTTATTAACTTTGAAAAGAAGTTGGCTAATATTACTATACCATTGGAAGATCGACGCAACGAAGAGGCCATGTACCATCCAATGCAGCTAAGGCAGCTGGCCAAACTTGCCCCGTTCTTGAATTGGACGGATCACTTTGATAATGCCATGCAGATGGTGGGTCGTCGGGTCACCGATGACGAGGTGGTTGTCGTTTATGCTCCTGACTTTCTCAAGAACCTTTCGGATATTATCCTTAAGATGGAACAAACTGAAGAGGGGAAAATGTGAGTGCTAGGACATTAGGATGTTGTTATATTTCTTAAGGGTGCCTAGAAGTATGCAGCGAAATAATTTTAATCCATAAACTTGCTGGATTTTTCCCATAAGATGGGAATACCTTTCATCTCGATATACTTTTAGACACCTTTATATATTTATCACTTTCATAATCTCTAATCTTTATCCTTCCCCCCTTTTTAGTACCCTCAACAACTATCTTGTCTGGCAGGCGGTGCGGACCCTAACCAGTTGCTTGTCCAAACCCTTCCGGGATGCATATAAAGGAGTACGGAAAGCCCTAATGGGTTCGGATGGTGGCGAGGAGATCTGGCGGTATTGCGTTTCGGACACGAACAATGTGGTGGGCTTTGCCGTAGGCGCCATCTTTGTGCGTCAGGCTTTCCATGGAGAATCTAAGCCAGCGGCCGAGCAGATGATTGGTGAGATTCGCGAAGCCTTTAAAATGAACCTCCAGAACCTGACCTGGGTGGACAAGCAGACACGCGAGAAGGCCATCGAGAAGGCTAACCAGATCTCGGATATGATTGGATTCCCCGACTACATCCTAGATCCCGTTGAGCTGGACAAGAAGTACGCCGAGCTAAACATCACGGCGAATGCCTACTTTGAGAACAACATCCAAGTGGCTATCTATAACCTGAAAAGCAATCTCAAACGCCTCGATCAACCGGTTAACAAGACCAACTGGGGCATGACCCCGCAGACAGTGAATGCCTATTACACACCTACGAAAAATCAAATTGTCTTTCCGGCGGGCATCCTGCAGACGCCCTTTTTCGATATCAACAATCCCAAAAGTCTGAACTTTGGTGCCATGGGCGTGGTAATGGGTCATGAACTAACCCACGCCTTCGATGATCAGGGTAGGGAGTACGATAAGTTTGGGAACATTAATCGCTGGTGGGACTCCAAGAGCATAGAGCGTTTTAATGAAAAATCAGAGTGCATTGCCCGTCAGTACAGTGGGTACAAGATGAACGGACGTACTCTTAATGGCAAGCAAACGCTGGGTAAGTCTAATGAATACCATAATTTGGTGATATCTATCTATCTATATCTATCTTATTACCTCTAAGAATCAACTTTAATCTATAACTTTCTTTACCAAATCCAAGGCGAGAATATAGCCGACAATGGTGGTCTGAAGGCAGCCTATCACGCCTACCAGCGTACCAAAAGCGACCGGGAGGTGGATGTCCTGAAGCTGCCTGGCCTGAATCTCACGCATTCGCAGCTCTTTTTCGTGTCCTTTGCACAGGTTTGTAATGATTTATTAAGTTAAAAGTTTTAACTAAAACTAAGTACTTTCACCACCCTTAGGTCTGGTGCTCTAGCACAACGGAGGAAACGAATCTGCTGCAAATGGAAAAGGATCCGCATTCGCCGTCGCAGTTCCGGGTGATCGGCACATTGTCGAACATGAAGGAGTTCGCCGAGGTCTTTCAGTGCAAGCCCGGCAAGCGTATGAATCCCACCGAGAAGTGCGAGGTGTGGTAAAGGGAAGGCCGCCCCCAAACCCCCCAGATCTCATAACGAGCCAAAGATAATGATGATTAATATAATGATAATGCCAAATCCAAAATCGAGCAACTATAATGAGCTGAGGACTGGTATGGATGCAGACAGGGAGATATAGCCTCTAGATACTTATCCTGTATCCTGGAATTTTACTCCTTTTCTGTTTTCATTTTTGCCATTATTTGTATTTTTATTTCTTTTTTTTTGTGAGTCAAGTCTAGAGAGAGAGAGAGCGTCAGTCATTGTGCCTATGAAAATAATGATAAAAAAACTGACGATAAATTCACGTTCGTGCTCCAAGGGGTTCTAGGCTAGGTCCTGGGAGCAGGATCAAGGGGACCTTTAACTACATTTGAATGTGAAAGCACGAGCTACCAACTATATGGGATCGGTGTGTGTGAGGAATATAGAAGATATAGCACACACCCAATGGGGCTGATATATATATATATATATATATATATATATGATAACGATAACGATAAACGATAACTGTAACTTAGCTATTTGTAGAACTATCAATGTATATTGTATTATAAAGATACAAAGATAAGCAGCTCGTGACCCTAGGAAAAAGAGTATTTGAAGGGTTGATTCTGTGTTCCGCTCTTTGTTTTTTTTTATGTGTCACAATGAAAAAAATGTATTTTAAAAAGTTTTTTTTAACAAAAAATATATTGAATTTAAAGTTCCTTAAGTAAGGGATAGAAATTTAGTGATGGGCTAGTGGGTATGTGAAAGTGAAGGAGATAGAGAGATATAGAGTGAGAGGCGAACAGGTTTTAGGGTTTTTGTTTAGCCAAAGTGAGTGATTAAGTTAAACATTCTGTATAAGTTGGAAATTAAAGAATGTATTTACTAACTTATTGTTGTATTATTTTTTAGTTTATATAATTTTAATTTTCAAGCAAAGAACAATAGCTAGAGGCTGGAATGTGAAAAATAAAACACTTGCAAACACCAATTTATTAAGAAATTGCTCAAATATTGAGATGTATAGCCAACAAAAAAAGTGGACGAGTTTTCTTTTGTACGAAAGAAAAACATATCAAACTAAATTAAAGATGATGATGTAATAACAACACCAACAACAACCACGTAAATCTATGGAATTTAACTAGGCACCAAATCGAAATCAATCCAAAAGCTTAGCTCTAAGATGAACTTTATAATAAAACTTTCAAGCCGAAACAGTCAAAGCACAAATCTCCATACTAAGTACTCGTAGACAATATGGCCAAAGAGGTTTTTTTTTCTTTTTAGGTTCTTATACTAACTAACTAGCATTTTCAATTATATAGTTTCGGTTGTTAGTTATCTCTTATATAAGTTTAGATATACAAACGAATGCATTTAAATTTCTTTCTTTGTTTCATAAAATCACTGAAGTAGTTCCAAAAACTGTTCATAGGTGGCGCGGACACAGAACTAAATTTTTGTTGTTGTATATTAAACATGCATTTATGATTTCCCCTTAATCATTTCGTTGTGGGTGAGGGGAATGGGGGAGGTGGTCCTCCCCCTTCTGTATCCATGGAGATATCAAGCAGATGATTTTTGTATTCTATATATATATATATATATATGTACTATATGATAGATGAAGACGAACGATAACTATAATACAAATATTAAAAAATATTATTATTATACAAAAAAAAAAAAGAAAACAAGAAAAGAAAACAGAAAAAAACTACATACATATACATTAACTGAATGTTTAAATGCAAATTATTTTTATTGTCTATTAATAAAGTGTATATGTGCATGTATACATTTGCAAATAAAAACAAAAACAAAAACGAAAAAGAAAAAATAAAAACACGCTTTAGTTGAGCGTCCCGACTATGGGATACCCACTAAAATTTGTTGGCTATGGGTTGGGGTTTTGTAGTTAATTTATAATTTCCCGTAATCTTTAATATTTGGAATTACCATAGAAATACAAATTTGTCTATATTAAAGAGAACTCAAGGAACCTGAAAGACACCTGTAATGATCTTTGCACAGTGAGAGAGTAATAGTTCGGTCATAACCTAAATTGTAGGGGAGCTCAGCTTCTCTGCTTTCAGTGCTCATTTGTTTTTGTGAATGCTTTGGGCGCTTGCGGGGCTATTCCCCAAAAAATTTTTCGCTTTCCTCTTTCCGCCACATTCCGTCGCCAACTGTAAATCAATTTGTTGTTGTTTCTTCCTCGATCATCCTCGGACAGTTACACTGGAATGCCTTCCTTGTAACTTCGCTTTGCACTTTGGCGTTCCTTTCGCAGTGAGATTGGGTGATGAATTGTTTAGCAAAAAGAAGGTGTTTTTCTTTCTCTCAGTGCACAGCTGCAAACCAACACGAAAGCGTCAATAAATATGTGCAGGCTTTCTTGAATTTGTGTTAGTAACTGAGTTACTGTAACTCTCTTAGCTCTGCCGAAAGATGATTTTGAGTACAACTGTCCTAAAATCATGGCATATCTACATAAAGGAGCCTCAAGGACCTGCCTTAGAGGTATAAATAATACCCTGTTCTAGAAATTTGTAAAGGAAAAGGAGGATGAACTTAAACTTAATAGACGGAATATATCAACACGTCGAACTTCTAGTTTATCACTCTTAGTTAACCCATGAAACCCCTTAACATAATATAGTTAAAAATTCAATATTTCTCCATATATGAGAAAGTTTATCCGAACTTATCTAGAATAACTTCAAAATTTAAAGTCCTTACCCTCTGGACTAACAAAAATTACAGAAATTTTGGCCAACTCTGAACTCTTAAAGTGTTCGAACTTTGACTTTATGACAAAGTTCTAATAAACTTTTGGTATTGTTATGCACAAAACACACACACTCACACACAGGGAAAAAGCAGACACCCACACACTGACACTGTGGATATAGAGAAATGCCAGCAAATTGCTTACATAATAAATAATAATAATAGCGTGCGATTTTTAGCGCAATTTAAATTTATTTATGGCACTTGTTTGTTCGCATGTCATGAGCAAGTTTTAGCCAGACATTTTTGCGCCCACAGAGAATCGACACACAAACACACACACCATATATATATATATACACAGGTGGTGTGTCAGTGTTAGTGGTTGTGGCAAAAAGGTGGGCGCCCGAGTCCTTCGTCGGATTTGCCTATTTTTATCATTGCGGCTTATCCCGGTTGCCTGGCAACCTGCCTTTTGCGTTGAGAGAATTCAAGCTGCTTAGTTTGGGAGCGATGTCGACTCATAAATCCTGCCTCTGGCATTGCCGCATCCCAACACCGCCATTGGAATGGAGATGTCCTCGACCTGCCGTCTTATCGCATTCCCCGCAATCACAAAAACCCCTTGGCAAGGTCTTTCAGTGAGATGGGAGTTGGGCTGGGATGGTCTGCTTAAATGGCAATTAGGCAGCAGCCGCACTTACTGACAGCTTCCTTTTGGCCGTTGAATATTTTGTCCTTGTTGTTTTTGTTGTTGTTGTTGTTCACCACCGAATGATGTCATCATAATGTCTGGGCCTAATTAATGCAATCCAGCTAGAAATAAAGGCCAATGCATGTTAGTGGGAAAACCCAAAAAAAAGTTGGGCTGTGAAAATTAATCACCTTTTTTTGTGCCCAGCTTTATCCCTTTTTAGGGTAACTAATTTTTTACATTTTATTTCTTTTTTTCTTTTTTTGTTGACAAAACCAATTTAAATTGGAATTTCTTAGAAATCACAATCAGTCAGCCGCAATTTTAAATAAAATAAATTTATTCAGTAGAAAAAGTTCTATAAATTGGCATTCTGACAAAATCAGAAGCTGAAAACTGAAAAGTTACTAATGGAAATTGCACAATGTTAAAGCTTACATTACATTGTGGAAATTTCTTGGCTGTTTAAATGGGAAAAACCCTTTAAGACGCAAGGGAAAGCCTTAAATTGTTATGGAAAGTGAGGCGATTAACATGATTAATGGGATGGGGCAATGAAAACAAAACAATTTCAAGTATCGGCCAAATAACAAGTACTTAGCATTGAGTTTGAGTGTAAATGCAATTAATATTATTATTATTATTATTATTATTATTATTATTGTTGTTTATTATGCAGGCAAGTTATGGCTTGTGGGTGGGTGGTTTAGCTGCGTAAATATGCATATGCTTTGGGTGCGGACATGTCCATAAAGCCCCATTCTGCACTCACTCAGGCATTCATTTGCTCGTTTGTTTATTTATGTTAATTTAAATCAACATGCAGAAATTAGCACATGACACAAAGAGGATGTTGGATGTTGGTTGTCGGCTGTCGGATGAGTGTGTAGGGCGTGTGTAGGAGATAAGTTTTGTGAATTTGCGGCGTGGCTCGAAAACATTTAATTTATTTAATTACTTGCCCCTTAATTTGCATATTTAAATGAATTGCCGCAAAGCCAAGGCTAAGTGTTGTGGCAGTGGGTGAAATTCTGGCTAATAACTGGATGACATGCCGTCGGAAGGGCGCAGTCAGCCAGTCAGCCAGTAAGCCAGCCATCATCATATATATATATATGACTAGGAGCCAGAAATCGGAGTTACCTCTACAAGAATGTAGGGAGAGAAAAAGTGGAGCTTAAAATAAGTAAAATAACATTTTTGTTTTTCATTTTTTATGACTTAAAAATCATAATAAAAATATTTATTAAAAATATTTATGAAAAATTAGCATTTAAAATATTTTTTCAATTCTTTAAACATTTTTTTTTTTGTATTTTATTTATTAAATTATTTATTATTAAGCTTAAGCTTAAGAACATCATTTTTATCATATTTCTAAAATGTTTATCTAATTTCCTTATTTAATCACCCATTTTTCTCGCAGTGTATTCACAAGTTAGTGATTGATCGACCATAACAGAAGCCTGGCTTATTGGGTTCAACATGTTGCAAGTGTTTTATGCCCCAATTTAGAATGCATGGACGTGTAATGGCTGCGGTCTCGGCCAATTTCCATTCGATTTCCTCGCGCTTTTATGCCTGCAAATTATTATTTTTCTTCCATTCAAAGTTTTATATATATATATACGGGTATATATATATATTTTGAGCAAGTTTTTGTCCAGACATTAATTGCTAAAATTTCTTTGGCAAAATTGCTAGAGGGGGTGGTTGGAGGCTCAAGGGGCAGAAATGAGATTTCAACCACAAAACAACGGCAAACACAATTTTGGCTTTCGGCTGGCAATGTGATGTTCTCTATGCGGGCAATAAAATAACAATCAACGCAAGCCGCGGTCGCCGCTGGGATGTTTGAGGGGGTGGGGGGGATTCCCCTTGAGGTGGAAAGAGGTGCTAGTGGTGGTGTAGGGGGTTTAGAGGGGGTTTGTTAAAGTGCCGCAAGCAAAACAATGGCGAAACAAAGAAAGAACCAGGCTGCCAATCGAACCAGCAGATACCCTGGAAGAACAGATGTTCCGGGAGTGATGTTTTCAAGGTGATTCTAATTAAGAGTTCTGGAAAACCTTGGGCTTAAAACTATATTATTTATACTAACTATAAACTGAGATAAAGGTGTGTCACTGAATGGCCTGTTTTGTAGTTTAAAATAACCCCCTACCCATCGACCAAAACTTCTAAACTGTTCCTGTAACTTTCCCCTAAACCCCAAAAACCTGATGATGGGTATTCCTGGGAGACCTGAGCGCACTTGCAGCCAAACGATTTGCAATGGGGAAAGTTGCCGGGCATGCGCTGCGCACAAACTAATAAAATAAATTAAATCGTTTAATTGAAGTAAATTGCCTATAAAATTGTTTTTCGAAAGTAGCCGCAAGAGATGGGTGGGCAAAAGAAGGAAAAAGGGGGGAAAGGGAGGCGGTTAGGGAAGACTGTGGGCCAGGCCATAATTGAGTAAT